TCATTTGTCATCAAGGAAGTCCATTAACCATTTTTCCCAGACGAGTTCTGTACTCACCTTTGCTTTCTTTAACTGTTTCTTTGGTATCTTCTTTTTGTGTTTCTTCTGGAAGTGTGGGTGTTATTGAGTCTGTTCTCTCACCTGGGGAAGAGACATACAGATACAGAACTTGGAGAAAGGCGTCATAGTCCAGTATTTTTTGAAGCTTTCCTATATCCAAAGTGGGATGCAAGAAAAAAAAAAACAGGAGCAATTTGACCAGTGAAGAGTTGAATTTGCTGCCCTTGAGGCTTAATTGTCTTTTATGTTTTAGTAACTCTTGCTGCCAAAGATCAAGCACCAAAACAGCCCAAAGCAGTGGCATTGAGCCACATGAAGTACCAAGGTGCCTAGAGGAAGGGCCAAAGACTTACTTCTAGAATCATAATCAGTTTGGCTCAGTCTCTTGTCTCATTAGATTAAATTAAGCCACTCATATTGTCAGTAATAATAAGGAACCTTGCAGACTGAATTTGCAACTGTTGCTTTTCACATTTGACAGAAATAGACAATAGCAGAGAGTGAGCACAAGGAACAAATTATTATCGTGACTAGATGTGGTTTACGGCTGTCCAAATTGTCTGTGTTAACCCTCATGCTCTTTCTGTTGAATAATCAGGTTAAAAGGACATTTGGCTCTAACTCTATAAAGAGGGGTTTCAAAGCAGCCCAAATTAACCCAAGTCTCACAAGACAGCCTTACCTCCAGGCCTCATAGAAGGAGCTGTTGGTTTCACTGCAGGAAAACAAAAACAAAACTATAACTAAACTTTCCTGTTAGCTGAATGACATCAGCTAGAAAATGGCATCCATTTCCAAAAAAAATTTACTTATCATTACCAGATCGTTTATTGTTACCAGACACAAGGAAGTGAGTTAGTTAATTCAAAAGAATTACTTCATTTCAGGCTTTCTTCTTGAAAAAAAAATTTTTTTTTAGAATAGCAGAGAGCCTGGTACAATGAGTCCCCGTGTATTGTCACACAGTTTCCTCTAGCTCAAAGATAGCTAATCCAGGTTCAACAGTAATCTCTCCTCCCCCACTATGCTCCTGACCTGGATTCTTTGAAAGCAGCTCAAGTCATTTTATTAGTTTCCATGAAAGTGCTTTTTAGAATGGCAAACATTGATCTCCAAGCAGTGGAAGTGGTTGAGGGACTGGCCAGCTCTGAGTCAGAACCTGGTGATAGGCCCTGAGTTCTTCAAAATACTTCCCAAGGCCTCAGAAAGGTCAGGTTGCGTAGACAACAAAAGTCCGTTGTATTTGCTTTTGACAAACCTCAACTATGTTGGCAATGAGTATCCTGTGCTAATCAGATGCTCTGGAGTTCAGAAGGATGGGGATCCTTAACAGCAGGATTTAGAAATCTTAGTCCTGAGCCTATCCTAAAGTTTACTTCAGAGAGAACAGAAAGGTTTAATTCTCTTCTCATAAGTGCATGTGTATGCACTTGATCCAAACCTTATTTATCTTTAAGCCTATTTATAGAATGACGACTGTGTGATAAAGACTGCTCTGCTGTATAAAAACAAACTGAATTTCTTTTTTATTTTGTTGGTCGTGGGGCCTGAGCTCTAGGCCTGGGCACTGCCCCTCAGCTCATCAGCTCAAGGCTAGCACTCTACCACTTGAGTCACAGTGCCACTTCCGGCTTTTTCTGCTTATGTGGTGCTGAGGAATCGAACCCAGGCCTCATGCATGCAAGGCAAGCACTCTACCACTGAGCCACCTTCCCAGCCAAAAAACTCAATTTCAATAGTTTTGATAATAATGTTTCCTTTATGAGAAAAAGACAACTAGGGGGCTGGGAAGGTAGCTCAGTGGTAGAGTGCTTGTCTTGCATGCATGAGGCCCTGGGTTCAATTCCTTAGCACCACATGGCAGAAAAAGCTGTAAGTGGTGCTGTGGCTCAAGTGGTAGAGTGCTAGGTTTGAGCTGAAGAGCTGCGAAACAGCGCCCAGGCCCATAATTCAGACCTCATGACTGACAAAAAATAAAATAAAATTATTTTTAAAAAAAGGAAGACTATTCAACCTAGTTTTGAGGGGGCTGAAGTCTTCCCAAAGGAAATTACTTTTTAATTTCGTATTTTGGAACGATTTTAGATTTATGAAAATTTGCAAGATACACTTTACCTAATCATTTTATCACATTTCATTGACTTAATTATTCTAGTCTTATCTGTCTGCCTGCCTACCTACCTCTATATCTTTGTATTTATACACATGTATATGTATATGTCTTCATGCATACTTGCACAGACATAACTTTCCTCCAGAGACTAAGTTGCATATGTGCTGTCTTCCATTTGCATTTAAAAGAGAGAGGACATTCTCTTATGTAACCACGATACAATAATCAAAACCAAGAAATCCATCTTGATGTAATACTGTTATCAAAGAACCAGTCACATTCCACATTCTTTCATTGACCTGATAATGTCAAGCATAGAAAACCTTTATCATTACTGTTACCATCATCATTGGGGTGACCATAACAATCCACAATGACTTGTTGCACTTGTTAGGAGAGAAGGTAATGCTTCACCTAAACCTGAAGAGTAAGAGTGAATTAATTGGGAAAGGGGAAAGGGTGTTCTATGCATAGGAGGCAGTAGGTCAGAGCTCTCAGGGAACTGCACTGAGTGCAAAGATGTTAGAATAGGACAAGGAGAGGACTTGGAGTAGTTAGAGTTGAGGCTGGATAGGAAGGCAAGGGTCTGATCATCCTTTTCTAGCATGCTAAGTTGTATGAGCTTATCCTAAGGAGGGGTGGCTTTTTTTTTCCTGGTCCTGGAGCTTGAACTCAGGGCCTGGGCACTGCCTCTCTGTGCTTAAGGCTAGCACTCTTCCACTTGAGCCACAGGGCCACTTCCAGCTTTTTCTGTTTTTGTGGCACTGAGGAATCAAACCCAGGGCTTCATGCATGCTAGGCAAGCACTCTACCATTAAGCTACATTCCCAGCCCAAGATGGGTGGCTTCTTAAAGGCAATACATTTATTCTCCACTTGCCCACCTAACCTCTATCAGATCCGTTCTCTGTTTTGGGAGAGGCTGATCTCTATTAACTATTTCATCGAAGCCTCTTGTCTTTGCGCTTTGATTGTAGGGAAGCAAAGTCAAAAGATCAGAGGACAGGAGGAGAGAGGTCATGGTATTTATATTCCTCATGTCCCCTTCCATATCAGCATGCTTGGACAGTAGCAGCATTCTTTGGTGGGTCCTCTTATGATGCCAGCTTCCTCTGGGTTTTGCTAAAATGATTCTCTCCCTTTGTTCCCTTTATAAACATAGTAGTGGATAGCTTCCCATTGTAGCTAGTCCCAGGCATTTTGCCATTTCTTGCTCTTTTTCTACACCTCTGCAAATAGCATTTTATCATACTCTCCTTATTAAACCCTGTGGGTTGGGTATGCTGTCCTTTTTCCAGCTAGAACTCATTAATGTATTTAATGCATTAAAACAGCAATTAATACAAAACAAAGGAAGAATATGATTTCAAGTTCAAAAATAAAAGGATGCTAATGAAAAATTTTAAAAAGTCTCTTATTTAATAATATTAGAGAACAAACATTTAAGCCTTGTAGCTAACAGAATATAACTAACAAAAGTGGCCTGTCACTGGTGGCTCACACCTGTAACCCTAGCTATTCAGGAGGCTGAGATGTGAGGATCATGTTTGAAGCCAGCCTTGGCAGGAAAGTCCATAAGACTCTTATCTCCAATTAACCATACACACACACACACACACACACACACACACACACACACACACACACACACACACACACACAAAGTGGAGCTGTGACTCAAGTGGCAGAGTGTTAGCTTTGAGCACAAAAGCTCAGGGATAGCTCCCAGGCCCAGAGTTCAAGCCCCAGGGCTGACACACACACACACACACACACAGATGGAGAGTCAGTTTGTAACAAGTGTTTTGCTTTCACTGTTCTGAGAATGTGACTTGCTAAGCAGTCTAGATCTTTGTACCCTTGTTGCCTGAGACAACTCTGTATGGGAGAATTCATCTGAGTGAGTAAAAAGGGAGGGAAAACATCTTTTAGTAGCAAAAAAATTGCCCCCATAACATGATCCAATGCAAGAGACTTTAAAATATTATATAGTCCTAAACTAAATATAAATAACAAGTTATTCTACTCATGTCATAAAAGAATCAGGGCCAAGCAGCTTAGAGGTGGTAAGAAACTTCAGGGATGAATCATTAAGGAGTTCAAGTTTAACTCTAAGTCAGTTAAAATAAGGGAATCTGGGAAAACTCAGCAAAATCCTTCTGGTCTGGAAGCACATGCAAATTAAATTTGTAAGTCATATCTACAGGGGTAGGTGGTCTTGGGAGTTTAAAATTACTCATCCACGTGCTTGCTATCTCTGCCTAATGCCAGTGGAATTGGTGTACTTTATCCTGAGCTGCTGCTGGTCATTTGTGTGTTCCTTTAAATTCCCCCCAAATAAGCTCACATGGTTGTTAGATGACTTGTAGGAGAACTGGTTAGCTAATTCCAGGCTCCTACACATGTGGGATGTGTAAACGTTCGTGCTTGTCCAGGCCTTTTGGGATGTTCTCAGAAGACTTGCTTCACCACACATAATTAGATCCTTTCTTTATCATCTTTTTTTCTGGTCTTAACATCTGATAACCTTTTCTTTGCTAGAATTATTCGTCAGTAAGGAAGTGTCATCCTCTTTCTCTTTATAAGAATTCCCCAAGTTTAATAGTGCTGGTATGTGCAACAAGCTTTCCCCGAAACAAAAAAACAAATTCTTGATATTAGCACCTGTTTGTGAAATGGGAGAGAAGGCTAAAGATTCAGCCATAGTTTGGGAAAGGACTTATTACCATCAGAGTATTTGCAAATGAAATTGTTCTTCATGTTGCATCGGTCATCATTCCACTGGAACATATAGGGGCCTCCGATACCAGCAGGTGCTGATGGCTGATGGTACATGACCACACAGACCTCGCTGCCACAGGAAGGCTCATCCACATACCAGTTCCTGTAGGAAAGGGATCAACAACAGAGGTGACCAGACATACAGATTCCACTTCAGAAACCAATACAGAGAGAGGGAGGTGCTAAAGTACTCCAATAAGCAGAACCATATACTCTCTACTATGGATGTCACAATCAATCATCTGACATTTACCACAACCTCTTTTCCATATGCTGTCTGCAAAGTAATTAGGAAGAGAAGCAACTAGCAGAGCTGGTCCTTTACTTTTTCTGCTAATTGTGTTTTGTTTCTCATTTTTCAGAGATCAGATGTACTGAGAAAAGGAATGGTACATGTCATGCAGATACTTCCTGTTTCCATTTTCCCTGCTTATCATTAGCCACTGCTGCCTTAACATTCCTGGATAGTAGATGAGAAATTAAAGCATCTGAACAAGACATGCACATATATATATATATATATATATATATATATATATATACATATATATGTATACATGTATGGAGAGAGAGAGAGAGAGAGAGAGAGAGAGAGAGAGAGAGAGAGAGATGCTTTTAAAGCATGTGAGGGGATGGGGACAAAGTCAGGAAAACCACTGGGTCTGTTTCAGTTTTGAAGTCATTTCCTCTTGATCAGGCCCATAAACCTCTTAGTCTCTACTGCCAGGTATCTTAGCTTTGCCTCTCGAGTCCCCCAAAGTGGGGGCTTAGCTATACTATCCAATGGCCTGGATATGTGGGGGCCAGGTTAAAACCTTAGATTCTGTTGACCATCTCAATGTGCAGGAGTCCGCCCCATTTGTTGACTCAGGGCTGGGCTTTGTACTCTGCCTGGTTATGTTATCTGAGCAGTTTTCTCCTGGATTGAGATCTTGCCCTGATGCTCAGACTATTTAACTAGGTACTGTTGTTCTGTCTAGCTTTTCTAAGAACCCCTCCTCAGGAAAGAGATAGCTAAGAGACAGGTCTCCTGCTAGTGATAGAGTATGGCTCTGCTTTAGTTCTGTGTCGCATTCTGCCAAAAGGAAGATCCTTCGTTTAATCACCTAAGTTGAATTTCCTGAACAACAGCTGAGCTTGCAACTCAGATAACTCCTTGGATATTATGGCTGCCTCTGAGGACCCTGGGGGAGATGTGCCATGTTCCTCATCAGTATCTTCATCCTGTTCTTCACCATTGTTACTCCCCATTGGCCTTATAGCTCCGTGGTATTTCATCTCATAGATAGATGGAATGTATTCCCAGCATTGTTTTTTGGATTTCAGCCAGTTTTCAGACTGAGAACTCACTGGTAGAGGGAGAGGTTAATGGACCAATGTGATTTTCTGTGATTCCCAACCAGAAATATCTGGAACAGTTTTTATTCATTGGGAATGGACAAAAGTATACTTTCATGGTCTTTCCTAAAGGTGAGATCGGCTTTTCCCACCTTCTGCTATAATGTGGTTAGAAGAAGCCTTGACTTCCTAGATATCTTGTAGAAAATTACACTGGTCCAGTATATTGCTGACATCTTGCCAAATGGACCTGAGGAACAACAAGTAGATAATATATTGTAGGACTCAGTAAGAATCATGTGCTCCTGAGGGTTGGAGAGAAATCCTATGGATATTCAGGAACAAGCCACTTTTTTTTTTTTTTAAGCATGTAGAGATGCTTAGTGACCTAGCGAATACTAGAATATACCTTTCAAGTTAAAAGACTATTTTTTTCTTTTTTTGCCAGTCCTGGGGCTTGAACTCAGGGTCTGGGCGCTGTCCCTGAACTTCTCTATGCTCAAGGCTAGCACTCTATTACTTGAGCCACAGTGCCACTTCCAGCTTTTTCTGTTTATGTGGTACTGAGGAATTGAACCCAGGGCTTCATGCATGCTAGGTAAGCACTCTACCACTAAGCCACATTCCCAGCTCCAAAAGTCTATTTCATCCATGTAATAATTTGGAAAAGGAAGCATAGCATTTGGACTCCTAAAGGGGATAATGATTCATTTTGGAATAGGTACACAATCTGGGCATGGATTTGCCTTTCCTGCCTTAGTACCTTAGTCAGCACCACTCTCTAAAGGTATATTCAGTACTCAGTCTATAAAACAAGATCCCAAATAACATCTTATCAACCTGGGGGACCTGTTTCACAAAGAAGGAAAAGGGTACAGGCAACAGGCCATGGAGTTGACTCAAGCTGCCAGTTTGACAAAGTAATTGAATAGTTTGTTGAAAATATACTTGAAGGGCTGGGAAGGTGGCTCAGTGGTAGAGCACTTGCCTTGCATGCATGAGGCCCTGGGTTCGATTCCTCAGCACCACATAAGCAAAAAGAAAAAAGCTGGAAGTGGTGCTGGGGCTCAAGTGGTAGAGCACTAGCCTTGAGGTAAAGAGTTGAGGGACAGTGCCCAGGCCTAGAGTTCAGGCCCCACGACCGGACCCCCAAAAAAAAAATACTTGAAGCATCATCTTAGAGGCAATGTTGTAGGTTGGTTATCAACTCAACAAAACCATATATGCTTTAAACCAGCGATTTATGCAGTAGTCCTGTATTTACAAGAGTCTAATACATGGGTCTGGCCAATGAACAAAAGTGGTAGTAAGTCACTGGAGAGAATTTGTATTCCTTGTCTCTGCAATGCCAGGCTTTGGGAGTCTTGAGGTACTTAGTTCCAAGAGGGAAATATTTCTAGAAGATATAGCAAGAATCTTATTGAATTGGGATCCTTGTGTCCAGGGACTAGCAATCAAGAAGAAACATCATTATCATGGCAGGAGGTAGGTAATTCTAATCATAAAGAGCAGCTAGGTTTCCTTTTATATGGTATGGGCAGGGAGAAGACTCCTAGGTTATCTACTTGGGTATCTCTTGGTATTCATGTCTCAATTTTTATATCAATGGAAAAGTACGTTAACAATGGCCTGAGAAGTTCTAGGTGACCAGGGCAGACTCTTCAGAGATAAGAGCCTGGTTATGCCACTCGGTCAGTCACGGAGACCAATGGACGTGAGGGTGGGAATCTGAACTGGAAACTAGAAGAGGGAGATCAGTAAATATTAGTTGTGGACCTGGGACATTCTGCAGTGAGAGATATATAGTATAGTTCATCTATTAACCTTCCTTTCTGTTTCTCTCATGAAGAGAAGCCCATGAGAACCGTGGAGGAGTTTCTCCCAAACTTATATGACGATGACATCTGATCAGCATAATGGGTAGATAGCAACAGATGTTACTTACTGACTTAGATATAACAGGTAAAATGCATGTTTTTATCTTCATCTTTTTGTCTGATAATGACTTTATATGTTTTTCCATATGATTAGATTTTCTGTTTTGTGCTTTTGCCACTTTATCTTTTGGGGTAAGTTAAAAAAAGCTTTCAATGACAGCTCTTTATCATAAAGATATTAATTATGTTATATTTATAGACATTTCTCTAGTATTATGTCTGCCTCTTAATCTTGATACTATTAAATGTTAGTCCACACCATAGACTTTTTTTTTTGTCGGTTGTAGGGCTTGAACTCAGGGCCTGTTCACTGTCCCTGAGCCTCTTTGTGCTCAAGGCTAGCGCTATACCAATCGAACTACAGCACCATTTCTGGTTTTTTTTTTTTGTGGGGTCCGGTCATGGGGTCTGAACTCTGGGCCTGGGCGCTGTCCCTCGGCTCTTCAGCTCAAGGCTAGCACTCTACCACTTGAGCCGCAGAGCCACTTCCGGCTTTTTTTTTTTTTTTCTTTTTGCTTATGTGGTGCTGAGGAATCGAACCCAGGGCCTCATGCATGCAAGGCAAGCGCTCTCTGGTTTTTGAGTTGTTAATTGGAGATAAGAGTCTCACAGGGACTTTCTTCCCAGGTGGGCTTTGAACTGCCTCAGAGCTCAGCCTCCTATAGGTATGAGCCATGGGCACCTGGCCACCATTGATTTTTTTAGGAAGAGATGACAGCAAGGTCACCCTGCCATGGTGTGGTGTGAGTGAGCATCACTGTCTTGGTGGTATAAATTTAGAAGGGTCCTACAGATTACAGCCTTCCTTGGCTCAGATTTCTTGTCTTTTATCAGGGTTTTCTGTGGCTTGTGATAGTCCCATCTTGACTCCAGAGACTTTCATTCTCTTGATGTGTATTTTAGTCTGAAAGGCCAGACAGCCAGAATCACTGATTTACAATCCTGTGCATTGAAACAATGGTACTGGGCTTCACCCAGCTGAAGAGGACTCTTTGTACTTCATCTGGGCTCAAGTGAAGATTGAGCTTGCTACTTTTACCACACTGCTCTGGTCAGTGGGTATTCTGGTGTTATTGTCCTCTTCCCCTCCGTTCTCCACCCCCCACCCCCGCATTTGCCTGGCTTTCTCTTCCTTTCTTTCCCATTGATGTGTCATTGTCCATCTACCCTGCGTCGTTCTGAGTTATGTCAAGGGAGTTGATGCTGTTGGTTCACTTACCTAAATTTTGATGTACTGCCATCAGTCCAAGCATAAAGGTCCTGGCAGGCTGTGCTATTGCTTTTTTTCTCCTCACGCCTCCTGAGTCCAATCCAGAAGTCACCATCAGATGCCAAGAGGTTTTCAATGAACTTTTCTATCAGTCTCTGCTCATCTTCAGACTCAATGCTGACTAGCTGGCCCCCATCCCATCGGCAGGCTTCTTTGGCTTCCTCAAAGTTCAGCCTTCGAGAAACATCATGGAAATAAATGACTTTATAACAAGGCCTTCGGGTCCCTCCTCGGCAGACCAGCTGCCCTAGAGAAAGAAAAATACAAAAAGAAAGCAGCCATTTTATGTTCTCACTGAAAGTATACCAGAGAAGAGTTACTCAGAGGAGTCTCTGAATGATGATCTCTGAGTAGGATTCTGAGTACTCACTAGTCATCAGCAGAGGATTTTCATGTCAATTAGGATTCCCAGAGAAAATTAGTACTCCCTCTAGCATGTACTTGCAGTAATTTAAACTCTGATGCCTGTATTATGGAGTGATGCCCACGTGATGGAAGATACTATATTTTGTTTATTCCATTACAGATTCTTAAAAACAGACATTTCTATCTCTCAAAGAAGATTTATGACTTCACTTAAGACACACAAGGAACACTTTTATGCCATTAGGGAATCTCAGGAAATTAATGTCACTTAAAGTGAGTATCTCTATTAAGTGGTGCTTTTAGGTAAAGAGGCATCCTGAGGTTTCTAACTTACCTAGATTCAGTCTCTTATGTGAGCAGAAGCTAAGAGCATCAGATACATGGGCTTCTCTAGTACTGTCAGTCCTCTGACCTAAAGACAACACCTACGGCTTACTGGACTTTTCCTGTGTGCCATTAACAATGGTAAGGGCTTTATATTTACATACATACTTTATCTTTTTTAACGATAGAGCCATCCCAGGATGTAGATACTATTTATGGCCCATTTTACAATAGAGAAAACTGAGGCTTGGGGAAATTAAATATTTTGTTTAAGGTCACATAGCTATAGCAGCAGCAGCATCTGAGTCAGAATCCAGATCCGATCACACAATCATTCTAGCCTCAGGTTCAGATTGTTCTGGGAACCCATACCATGTATCTCATCTGACTAATACCTCAAGGGTTTTAGACTATTTCAGACAACTTTGCTGAGCAGCAAGTAACAACAAATGTTTCATCGGCACACACTGTCCTCAGTTGTGTCTGGATGACTGAAATCATTAGGCAGCCAAAACCTTAGTCTCATTACTCCTTCACTGAGTATTTACTGAGTGTATCCACTTTGTGTGTCACTAGTTGCTAGGAATATGGAAACAAACGCCAGATCCTACTCCATAGGATCACATAGTATTTCCATCTCGATCCAAGTGTACAAAATGAAAAACTCATCTCAATAAAGAGAGAGTAGTACTGCAAGAAAAGAGCCAAAATATGGCAGTGGGTGTGAATTTCTACCATAGAATAAAGGGTAAAGGATTGGGTTTGGCAATCTCTTCCCAGAACTTCTGGAATATTCTCATTTCCCCAACTTGTTTTGTAGTTGTGTAGGGAGCCAGATAACTTTTTAAAAAAAATATTATTCTCAGTACTGTCTAGAATACAAGGGAAGAAGGCCACAGACATTAATAATACTGTTAGTGCTAACTGGGAATGAATACATACAGATGGTCCAGAAAGCTCCAGTGAATCTTTATTTTCATCCCTTCTCTCACCACTTTTCTAAAGAAATTCTCAACAAGCAAGAAGCTGAAAGAATTTTGCACCTCCTCCCTGTTACTCTTTGGCTGTTGGCTGCTAACAGGGAATCTCTAAGTGGATAAGCAAATTAGAAGGGCTCAAAGCAGAGAAGCTGAGCCTTTCTCAAAGAGGCCTGGAGAGGAGAGGAGGCCACCCTGGCCAAGTTCTTATGATTCCTTAAAGGGGTTCTAAATCAGGCAGCAGAAGAAAGATAAATGAGGCTTCAGGAACACCCCCCTTCCCCCCATACCGGACCGTTTAGCATAAGCTGGAGTTGGATTTTCTGGCAGCTCCCACGTTTCCACTGGATTGCCAAGGGAAAACATAACACCTCAATGGAGTTTCCTGTAGGGTCCAGCCTGGCCACATACAACCTGTCTGAGAGTGCGGGCCGGAGCTGGAAAGATGCCCGGGGGCCCATCTGGTTCCCCTGCCTTCAGGAAGTGTCTTTCTCTTCTCATCTGCAGGAAAGGGAAGGGGGAGGGAGCTTCTGCCCTCTCTCCCCCTCCCACCCCAACCACCGGGCGAGTAAGGCTTCTGCAGCCTTACTCAAGCAGGTCAATTCAGTTCTCTGTCTGTCTGTCTGTCTCTCTGTGTATATGTGTGTGTGTCTCTCTCTCCTGTCCTGAAATCAACTCCTAGATTCATTAAATCATCTGCACAAGTTGAGATGCCAGAGAGGAGTAGGTTCCAATTTTCTCCGTCCCTTCTTGGCCAAGGTATTGGCGCCTGAGAAGGGAACCCAGAAATGGTGCAGCCGCCATCCTCCTCCATCCCATCCCCCCGCCCCCCCCCCCCCCCCCCCGCCCCGTCCCAGCAAGCAGAACAGTGGAAGACGGGCAAGAAGCTAAGCACGGTACCTCCGCGGGGGTCCAGGTCCGAGTCTGCAATGACAGGACGGAAGGAAGGAAGCCCAGAGTCATTTACGGAGCCAGGCGGGGCTCGTCCCGGGCGGACTAGGCTTGTCTTCCCCATCTCAGAGCGCTCCCCTTGAGGGGCGCTGCAAGCCAGCCGTGCTCCCTCCCGCACGGGACACCGAGAGTAACCCGCGAGGCTTCCCGCAGCACGCCGCACCCCCGCCCCTCCCGCCCGCCCGTGCACTCCCGCGCGCGCGGCGCCCAGCGGGACCGCAGCTACCCAGCCTCCCACCCACCCAGGGGGCCATCCCGGACTTTCCTGGGTACCCAGGGACTCTGGAGGACCGATCCAGGAGTGGAGCTCGGGTGGGGGAGGCAGGGGTCTGGGGTGGGGGTCCCTCCCTCCCTCCCCCACGGGCCAAAGAAGGGGGGAGTGGCGATCCTGTAAAGGGTCAGCAACAGCTGGGTCCCCCCCCTCGCCCCGCCGCCGTGCACCCGCCCGGCCGACCCGCAGCCCGCTCCCGGCTCCCCGCACTCACCGCTCAGCAGGCGCCCCTTGGCGCCCCGCGGTCCCGCCAGCAGCACCGCCAGCAGCATAGCCCCAAGGGCAGCTCCCGCCGGCATGGCTGGGACTCGCGGGCACCCTCTGACACCCCGACTCTACGGGGCGGAGAAGCCAGTGGACAGACAGACTGATGGACAGATCGCTGCGTGCGCAACGACTGCAACCGAGGCTGCAGCATCTCCCACACACAGACTCCCACGGACTCCGCACTGGGAGGAGTCCAGGAGGGTGCAGGGTCAGTCCGTTGCCCTCCGCCTCCTGGGACGTCACTGCGGGGGGGCGGGCCACCCCAGGGCTAGTCCGCCTCAGCCAGCCTCCTCCCACAGGCTAGGTGCCAGACCCGGCCCACAGGACAGCTAATGGTGGAAGGGGCCAGCTCCCTGTCCTCTGCCCCCAGTCCTCCAGGAAGTAGGACGGCTGCCCTAAAATGGGGGGAAGAGCTCAGTGTGGCCCCCAAAAGTACCACATCTCGCCTTCCTGTCGCCAGGACCATAGCCTGAGTGTGGGCTAAAGGAAGAGGGAAAGCAAAGCACTTACTGTGGCTCAGTAGACCACAGTCCCAGCGTCCTGGGCTACTCTTTGGAAAGGAAGGAGTATAGAGCAGATGCTCACACCTACAGTGTGCC